GGCAGGTCTCTCACTGCTGTGGCCTCTCCCGTTGCGGAGCACAGGCTCCGGATGCGCAGGCTCAGCGGCCATGGCTCACGGGCCCAGCCGCTCCGAGGCATGTGGGATCCTCCCAGACCGGGTCACGAACCCGTGTCCCCTGCATCGGAAGGCGGACTCTCAACCACTGCGCCACCAGGGAAGCCCCCCATTTCTTTTCTTACATAGCCTCCTGGAGACTCGCGATCAATTTCTCAACTGCAGACAAACCCACCCCAGAGGCCCCAGCTGATGTGATAATCTGTAGGGAATCACATGGCCTCCTAAGGAAAAAAGATGACCTTGACCAAGACCTCCCTAGGTGCCCAGTGCTGTACTAGATGCTTTCTACACATCTCCTTTCATCTTCACAACAACCCCATGAGGTCGGGACCATTATTCAGTTCCATCTGAGGAGTTAGCAGAATTCTGAAATTGCTTTTGCTTTTTCTCTGGGAGCCAAGTCACTGAACCACTGAACCACTGAACGGGAATAGGGTAATCCTGGTATTTGGAGCTAGGAGTAACTCTGCCAAAGTGTGTTCGAGCAGCTGGAGAAAGGGCTACGAGGATCACATGCCCCAGCCTAGGAAAAGCTCTTGTGGTTGGTAAATAATGCAGCATCTTTAGGGTGGCTTCCAGACAGAGAGGGAGATTTTTTTTTTTTTCAAATGACTTAGATTTAATCATCGGAAGCAAACTAAATGGAGAGCTTACAATAGAGAAGAATTACATGTCAGTGCCTTTTGCAAACTGAGCTGGGACAGAAAGGGACTGGGGCTGCCCCTCAACCCGATCCCTTCCAAACAAAGACATCCACAGTGTCCCTGGCAGTCTGGCTCAGGGAAGGAGGAGACTGTTGGCTCTGTGCGTTGAGGTCGCCTTGCCACCGCTCACTCCTGGCCAGCCATCAGGAGCCCCGCCTTGCTGGCTCTGTTCATCACCCTTTTTTTTGTGGCCTGATACGATGTCATCAATCCGCAGCAGTAGAACTGCCGTCTCCAGTGCTGTCTTATACATTTGCAGCTTTACAGCCAATGGTTCCCAGATGCCCAGTTCTCTCATGTCCACCAAAGTACCTGTCTCACCATTTACACCCCAGGTCTCACAATTCTCCTGGGTGTGCTTGGCCCGAAGGGAGGTAAGTAGACGGATGGTGCTGGCCCCACGGTTTTGAATAAGGGTACGAGGGATGACCTCTAGGGCTTGGGCAACAGCCCGATATGGCCATTGTTCCACACCAGTCATGGCCTTGGATTTTTCTGTCAAGGCATGAGCCACAGCCATCTCAGAAGCCCTACCCCCGGGCACCAGCTGAGGGTCCAGGAGAACATTGCAGCACACCTGCATGGTGGCATCCTGGAGGTTGCGTTCTACTTCCGAGAGCAGAGAGGGAGATTTAACTTCATCTTATGCATTTTGCTTATTTGAAAAAAATTGTTTTCAGCACGGAGTGCGCCAATCACAGCATCGTGGCATACGTGTTGTACTGACATCTGGAAATATTTAGCAATTCGAGAAACAAACAGTCAAGGAGTTCGCCCAGATCATCAAATACAGATTTGACCCTAACCCAGATTCCCAGCAGCACGCATCAGGAGTGAACAAACATAAGTTCCTAATGACACTATCTCCTTCTGTAGCAGAAACAAACAGGGTTGGTTCTGGTACCCAGGCCTGGAAGTGGCTTGGGGATCCTGGTCTCTGGTATGTTTCCCACTGGCAGCCTCAATGGAATTCAGCAGAAATCAGGCCACAGGACTGGATGAGACAGGACAGTGGTCCAGACAGGCTGGCAGAAGTTCAGTCCAGGGTTCAAGGGCAAACGGTGGATGAATGGGGGCAGAGGTCAGCAGAGGTCAGGACTAAGTGGGCAGCAACGAGGATTAGGCTCGAGGCTTCAGTGCCAAGCCATCAACAGGACCCAGCAGAAGCTCAGGGGCTGCGAGATGAGAAACAGGCCAGAGGCACAGAAGAACACAGTCGGGACATGAGCTGGGAATGCAGTGTTAGGGTTAGGGCCCTTCTTCCTCACAGGTGCTTACAGAACGGGACTGGGCACACCCACCAACTCAAGTTCCAGACAGGGCTGGACATTGCCACACACACACACACAGACGCCCCCAGTGCCCCTTACCCCCCGAGGCCCGAGCTTCATTCCAAGCACCGTTTTGCTCCGGCTCCAGTTCACCCGCTGTGCCTCTCCTTCTATTTCCACAGTGAGTGGGGACTTCAGAGTCTTTAGAACACTCCTGTTGTCCCAGGATCTCCAAACTGTTCTACCAAGCCACACAGCTACCCAAACGAAGTACAAAACCCCCCTCTTCCATCTCTGCCAGCCCTCAGCCCCACCCCAAGGCGTACCTCTTGCTCTTTATATCCATGGAAAGAATGTTGGGATTCCCGGATATATACCCGGGCATTTACCTTGACCACAAAAAACTAAACTCATACTCTTCCCCAAACTTACTTTTCTTTCTCTATTTATTCCCGACGCGGTGATGAGCATCACTGTCTGCTTAAAACTAGAAACCCAGGGGCCACCCTAGGCTCTTTCTTTTCCCTTTTTTCCCCTGTATCCAACGACAGATTTCTTCTTTTTAAACCCTCAAAACTTCTCAGGCCATATGCCTTCCTACGTATCTGCCTCTACCATCTCTCAAAGAATTATGACAAAGCCTCCAAGTTGGACTTCTGGCCTCCAATGATTCCAGAACAATCTTTTCCTAAAATATGAATTGGACCGTGAGCTTCTTCTGCTTGGAAGCCTTTGTTGACCTGCCAACGGATGGATGCTATTCTCTCCTCATCGGAAATTCAGGGCCCCGGGAAACGTAGACCCCAACCTCTCCCCGCTCCCTCCCTCCTGGCTTTAAGCTCCAGATCAGAGGGATCTAGCGAAGGTCTGTGGACCTACTGAGATCACAGGCAAAATGTCAGCCATATGTACGTTTTCTAGAAGGACTTGCAATCGTTGTCAAACGGGAATCAAGGGTCCATGACGCAAACACAAGTTAAGAACTACTGCCCTGGGGCTTCCCCGGTGGCGCAGTGGTTGAGAGTCCGCCTGCCGATGCAGCGGACGCGGGTTCGTGCCCCGGTCCGGGAGGATCCCACGTGCTGTGGAGCGGCTGGGCCCGTGGGCCATGGCCGCTGAGCCTGCGCGTCCGGAGCCTGTGCTCCGCAACGGGAGAGGCCACGGCAGTGAGAGGCCCGCGTACCGCAAAAAAAAACCCAAAAAACTACTGCCCTTCACGTGGCATTCCTTCACAGGCCAGACCCTACTCACCTCACACCTGGCTTGTCAGAAGTGTTCAAACACATCTGACCAGGACCTATGGTAAGAAACATTATATTTCTGTGTAAAACAGAACCAAATTTTTACAAAACAATTCTCACTCGACCTACGTCATAGACACTCTAATCTTTACTATTTCAGTCATTTCCCTTTTTTCAATGCTGACTGTGATCCCTTAAACTTATTTTACAGCCCCTCCACCACCAATGGATTCCAAACCACAGTCTGAAACTTAGGTCTTGAGGCTGTGTCGTATTTGTGATTCTCTATTATTATTTTGGTCTCAATTCCCAACTGTCTCTCGGAAGCTCCTTGAGGGTAGGGATCGTGACGTATACATTTGCAGTATTGCCCCAGGCACAGAGTCAGTGCCGTAAGAAGACAGCTGGAAGACGTGGGGAAGAAACAAAGGACTACTTGGTGTAAAAACTGCCAACCACTTCAGGCATGGAGATGTGACAATCATTAACTGGTGGAGAATTCCCTGGATTGCATTTAGGGTAGGGGTCCCCAACCCTTGGGCTGTTAGGAGCCGGGCCG